AAAATAAAAAAAATGTGATCCTAACTATTATAATATTATTGATGTTGTAAAACCATAAGATAAATATTGATGATTATTTAGTCTTATTAAGACACTTAAATAAGTCATATTAACTGTAGAAGATTCTGTTTTATGTATATTGTAACTCTTATTTGAACCATATAAATATGGGATATTTGTTTTCAATAAATTGCATGATTGAGTTTTGACTCTCTGCTTTTTCTTATATTTATATTTAACCAAAATAAAGAGAAAATTTGAGATCAATAGTGAGATATTCGTAGGATCCAAACAACTTGCAGATTTGTGATAAAAACATTAATATCTCAACGCTCCATTGTCCGAATATCATGAAACGGATAGAAAGTTTCACAGCTCATTGTTCTTCAAATTCAATGACTATTAAGACTGGACATGAAATGGTTCAGTTCGATTTTAAAATGAATCGAATTGAACCTAAATTTGAATCGAATTGAACCTAAATTTTTTGATATTTAGTTAGTAGAATTGTTGAGTCCAAATTTAATTATTGAACCGTTTAGGTTTGGTTCTATTCTGTTCAGCTCCATTTAGTTTCCGAGTTTCGTTAATAATTAATTTTTTTATATTTAGAACAATGCTACATTAATTTAACTATGATATATTCAATCTTAACTGTTATAAAATAACATAGTCCAATCATATGATATTTTTTGCACCTCCCTTTGTTGAGTTTTTCATAAATTTGACTATTAAAATCACAAGAATATAAAGATAATGAGCTCAAAATAATGAATAAAGATACAACTGATCTTTCAATTCAATTTCTCCAAAACGACAGAAAACGGTAAAGTGAGAGATTTGGGTAATACTTGGATCAATTTGATTAAGTTGGGCATGGTTGAAAATTAGAAATAGGAAAAATCATATTTTGGATTTGATCTAATTAGCTAACAAGTTCATTTAAAAATAATTATTTAGCTTATTTAAAATTTTAAAAAAAAATTAGGGATATTCGATTCTTACTCGATGAACTGAACCAAACCCATTAGTTTTCAAATTAAATACTTGTTCGGATATTTAACTAAAGAAGAACTGCTTGATTATGTACAGTTCGATTCAATTTGAGAGCTTTGTCCAATCATAAGATTATGATTAAAATCGAATAATCCATTAGTGAGAAATCTGTATGTGAACAGTAGCCAAATTCTTACACAAATAATAATAATAATAATAATAATAATAATAATAATAATAATAAATAAATAAATAAATAAATAAATAAGCATTGATCGATGGTCCTAATGCCCCAATATATGTTTCGAAGAGTCGAGTGCGGAATCCATTAATTCCTATCCCCAAGTTTATATATGCTTTTGAATTTGTAGTTTGATATAAGAATTGCATATTGTCTTAATTACACAAATTGCTAAACTGTCACGTTTTCTTTAATTTATTGTTATTTATAAATTATAACTACATATTTAATTTTTGTATTCGATTTTCATGTTATAATTGATTACAACATAATATTTTTTTTCTACTTATTTAATTAATATGTTTATGTACATTGAAAGAATTCACATGTCACCAAATTAATTTTGGTACACGTGATACATGATTATGCTTATAAAAATTATTATTTTCTGACTAATTTATTTTGATTTTGAGGGAATCATGCTAATAATGTGTTATAATCTAGAGAGAATAAAAAGAGAAGCCAATAAATTTGTGTATTTTATTAAGAACTAAAGTCTCATATTTATAGAGAATAATTAAGGCTACAAGGAATACAAAAGTCAGAATGGCTAGAACTACAGGAGTATAAAAGTCATTTATAAATATTACTCCCTCCGTGTCATTTATATAGGTTAATTTTGTTTTTCACACAGATTAAAAAAATCATATTTAATGTTATTGAAAAAGTAATTTTAGCAAAAAACTTTCCTAATTTACTCTTATTCATATTTGTACAATTTCAAGATTAATGGGAAAAAGTTAGTTATAACTAGGCAAATTAAATAAGGGTATATTGATTAAAAAAAAAACCCAATAAAAAAAAAGACTATATAATTGGGACAAGAAAATAAGGAAGGTCAGCGCATATAAATGGACGAAGGGAGTACTATATTTACAACATAAAATTGTACTAGTTTTATTGAATAATCAAATTTTATGGAATAAAATATCATAAAATAATTTTTCAAAATTTTAAACCAAACATATTTTATAATTTTTTGGTTTGAAAAATAATTTTTTAGAATGAAAAACAACCATTTCTTAGTAACTTTAAGACAAGTCCTCAAAAAAATAAAATAAAATAAATTCAAAACTGAAAACTGAAACACATATCAAACGAATTCTAAACTTTTCTATAGTATGAGATTGAGAATTGAGATTGTATTATTGTCGGAGAGAAATGGAGGCTTTGCGGTGTATATATATATTTGTATAAAAGTGGAGTGAGTGAAGAGAGAGTGCAAAGCATATGAGTCAACACGTGTGCGTTGAGAAATAAACAAACGTTGGGAAGGTGGCGGCAGTTTTAGCTTTGGCGTAAGGAGGGAGTTGTGGGTGGGGAAAAAGGAGATGAGCAAGTGGTTTTGATTTTGGTTTTATTTTAGAGAAGGGTATGATTTAATAGATTTACTATTATAATTTTTTATTTTATTTTAATTAGGACCAGTTTAAACTTTATACAAAGGGACTTATGCATTGTAATAGACAAAACTTCGATACGAAATAAATTCTCTTTATTCTTTTCATCTTCTCTCTCTCTCTCTCTCTCTCTCTTATTCTCTCTCTCTTCTATCTCCATCTTTTTTTTCCCCTCAATTTTGTTTTTTGTTCAATTGTGTCTTGCATCAATATGATATCAGAGCAAGTCATTTTTCTTTAACTAACGAATTTCATGTTCAAATTCAGAACTTATACACCTACCTCCATAGTCACTTTCAACCAATGTTTCCATCTCCTTTTCGCAACACCAAAAAATCCCTACAATAGACCAGATTTAAACATAAGAAAAGTGAAGGTGCGAGTGTAATCAATAAAAGAAATATTGTTATTATTGTTCAATTTCGACCAAGGAACCACACTGCAGTTCAATCAGAGTCATGCATGGAACGCTAAATACCTAAACAATAATTTTACCTAGAAAAATGATAGTCTGCTAGGATCATTTGCACAGATCCTGGCCAGACTATCTCTCAAACAAGGGGGTCTACACTCATTTTTTAAGGACCAAAAAAAAAAAAGTGCCCACCCTCTCATAGTTTGGCCAGAGTCTGTGCAAATGACTCTGGTAGACTAGCATAGTCCTTTTACCTATGGTTGGCTCCATATTAGCCACTTTGGTAGATTTTTTGCTATTGACAGATTTAATTTTTTCATGTGTTTGGCTAGTTAATTTGATATTAAAAAAAAAATTGATTTAATTTTAGAGATTTGTTCCTGTATTGTGTGTGCTAAAGTGATAATTTACAATATTTCTAATTACTTAATTGGTTTGGGTACTTCACTCAACACCATGTACAATTCACAAAACAACTCTCATAGATACACCAAAACACTATATCATTACCATTATAGTTTGCATTTTCCTTACCTCATCAATACAACTATCCCCCATTTAGGAATTATGGTAGGAACGTTCACTATCCTTCAAGGCAAGTCATATTACAACCATGGGATTTTGATGGTCTTGTTTGCCCGTGTCATTTTTATTTGCTCAATGATCTTGAAAAGTTTTTTAACTTTCACAACATTAGTGACTGATTTCGTATTTCTCATTGTAATATATTATTTGTCGGATCAGCTTGGTATTATTGAAATTCATTTTTTATCATTTAGGTCAACACCCTATCACTTTAAGAGATGAGGTTAAATAACAAATATGTCCTCGTATATTGTCAATCTTAGCTGTTCGATCAATTCTTTTAGCATTGTAAGTAAAGCGTGTCCACTATTAAAGAATATCTAGCCATTTTAAAATAGCTATTGAATAATTATATTATTTATAAAGTTCGTTACATCAAAAAGTCTAAGTTTCTTAATGATTTGAATCCTGAAGTCATGCGTCACGATATTACCGCTCCCCAATCTTTAGTTGAAGCTTAAGGCAAGCCAATGTATGGGACATATTCTTTTGTTTTCTCCAAGCATGTCATATGTTTGGTCTCCCACCTAGTCCCGATAGTAGTCACTTCCCAAGTCTAGTTGTAGTACTCCTCACAAGGAAGAAAATGATATTTTTTTTATTGTTGAGCCTATTAAATGTTTTGATAGCAAGGATGAAAGTTTCAACATATTGATCATGATAACATTGTCATATAAGCCAATATACTCCTCAGAAGGCCTCATTTTTATCCAAGGAAATTATTCGCATGCATGCTTTTCCTATCAATATTCGATTGTTGCCTACTAACCACGTCATATTTCTTTAGCTCTGTACTTCGTTGACTTTATGTCGAGATTAGACAAATTATTTTCAGTCATGCAACTCATGAGCATGTTATAGTATTTAATTCACTTTTCAAATTTATACTCTAATATTTAGAAAAATGATTATGATTAGATTTAATAGATTTTCTAGTATTTTTCTATTTTAATTAGAACTAGTTTAAACTTTGAAAAAATGGGGCTTATGCATCATGGTAGACACAATTTTGATATGAAATAAACTTGATATTTTCCTGCCCAAATTGTCTTTATTCTCTCCCCCTTCTCTCTCTCCCCCCTCTTGTTTTCTTTCTTTTTCAATTTTGTTCTTCGTGCAATTGTGTCTTACATTACAAATATTCTATGAACATACTGATTTATATATATCTGAAAGCAGATAATCTCAATGAACCCCAAAAGAGAAAGTTAGGGCTAATCAAAATGTTCTATAACACTTTGATAACACTCAAATATGACTTCCTCTAAAACCTCTTCCGAAAGGGAAAACTCTTTTAAAAATTAATTTCAACCAATGATTAAGGTAGTTTTCTGAAGAAATTCATCTACAATAAACATAGATATCGTGGAAAGACAAAGCTTTAAAACAAAATGAGCAAAAACACAAGTTACCATGTCCAAAAGTTTCACAAATACACAATACTTCACTGGATTGAACTTCTTCAAGCTACATCACTTCATGAAAGTAAAAAACTTCAAGCTAGTACAAGACCATTATCAAACTAACAGCTTTCATTACAAGACACCACTTGTAACATCAAAAGAAAGAATAAATTTCAAAAATGATAATGATTTCTCATTTCTTGTTGATCTTGTCCTCTGGTCTTTAGGCTAAAGGCATCATCAAAAGAAGCAATTGGCTAGCTTTAGGCATCACACACGATATCTGTAATAATGGAACTGCGAAAGGAAGTAAAGAGGGCGGAAAAAAGGAGTACTAATAACAAATATATGCTTTAGGCGACTTAACATAGAAATAGGTAAACGTACAGCATAAACGGCACAGGATTCTAAACTAAAATTTAACAAACAGAAGGAAGTCATGCATTACCTCAATGACTTAAGAGCCAGGCACTAATAATTATAAGATTTTTCAGATGAAACTGGATTCTGGCTAGATAACCTGTAAGAGCGGTCAAACAATGAGCTTGGATGAAAGAATTAGATCTAACCAAACCTTTCAAGAAAGATGGAGAGTTCAAGAAACCAGTACAAGGTTATAAATGTTGAGGGGGAGGAGGGGAAGAGGAAAAATTCTAGTAGGTACAAAATTTTACCCAGCAACACCAGAATGACCTGATGAATAAACGCCATATGCTCCATAATTACTTTCACCGACAATCTAAAGCATCGAACATGGATCAGGTTGTGGACAAAAGGTGAAAATTTGCTTGGCAATTAAATAGATGCTAAAGAGAACATTTAATGTACAATAGTACAGTTCCATACTAGAAATGTATGATTTGGAAAAGGATATAACTCTTCGCTTAATAGAAAATCAGTGTGATTCTAACTATAAGAATCAGAATATATCCAATCTTACTAAACAAATTGGTAGATATTACCTGTGAAGTATCATAACTCCTGTAACTTTCACTCGGTGGCAAATTTTTGGAGCCATAACCACCTGAGTAAGTTGAATATCCATGATTTCTTGATCTATTATCACGACCCATATATTTTGGGCCATCAGAAATGTCTGGTGATGTTTGACGATATGGGGCAGGTGTAGAAAATCCAGATGAAGTTCCCTCAGTCTCAAACATGTTTGCCCTCAAGCGCATCACTACTTGTAGTAAGGCTGCTCTAGCCGCATTCGTGTCTCCCGTAATCTGGCAAGCACCATGTGTATTATTTAGTTATATCTATTATCTGATGCTTATGCCCAACGCACAAAAGTTAAAATGACAGATAAACAAAGAACACATCATTTATTTTTACCTTAAACTTCCTAACATCTATTCAAAAGTGAACTCTATAAATGAAATTCGAAATCCAGAGACAAGACAAGCAGGCAGGGAGATGGTAAAATGGGCAGGGATATAGATGGATGGACAGATAGTCATATACAGAAACAAAAACAAAGTCATCAACCTGCACCATCTCGTCATCTTCAGATGCAACTTTGTGAACATGTTCATCAGAAAGAATCCGGATGTTCGCTCTCGTACTCTTTCTCATCTCTTTAACAATAGCCCCACCTTTACCGATAAGACATCCAATTCTAGAGCTTGGTACAAGTAAACGTGTTGTGAAAACAGGATCACCTGATTCTCTTTCTGATCTCTCACTGCACCTTGGTTGCAATCGCATTGTCGCATCGATAGTCCGGGAAGGAGCATCAAACGTCTGAGGTATCAAAACTCAGGTCAACACAAGCATCTTAAATTGTTTATTTGTAATTATGATCGTCAAAACTACATTAAATTATGCTCACCTCCTTTGCTGATATGGATATAACACAATCTTCTCCTTCAGCAACAGAACTATCAACTTTAATGAATGCCCCTGATTCCTGTCTTATTTGTTTTATAATGACACCACCTTTTCCAATCACAGCTCCTATATTTTCAGGTGGACAAATCAAACGAAGTGAGAACTCCTTCGCAGTGTAAGAACTCCCATAGGGACCCATTGATGAAACCACACCCACAAGAGGGCCACCGACATTTGGATTGTTGAATGCTATTCCAGATCTATAAATGCTGGATGCCGACAAGAGCAAATACTGTGACCTTGAGGGATTATCATGAAGACGATATGCAACTTGGTATAGAGCTTTCTTCACAACAGTAGCTTCCCCTGATAACTGAGATTTAAACAAGTACTAACTGTCAAAATCATCACTGATATTTTTCCACCCACTCTTCATGCAACCAAAAGCAAGCATCAGAAAACCCCAAGCATATTGTAAGTTTCATTTTCAGAGTACAAATACGAGGAGATTGCTGTAATAACACTCACAAAAGAAATTCACCACCATCTTATGAAACCCAAACTAACCGTGTTTATACATCATGGAAAAGATTATAGATTCTTTGAATATTAAATATGACAAACTACTGCATTCAAACAACCTAGTTGGTTCTAAAAGGTGGAACTATCCTTAATGCATACTCTCAAGATCCCACCAGATAAACTATAATACTAAAAATACAATTGTTAACACCCATCTCAAAAATTTTAATTGTATGCCAAATTAAATGCAAAACAAGTAAATTAATACCAGTTATAAATGATTTATACCTGGATAAGTTCATCAGAACTCAGAGCACAAGGTGGCAAATGCTCACTACCCAAAATTCTGATTTGAACACCAGTTTCAGTTCTTATGTTCTGGATTATTTGTCCTCCTTTCCCAATCACACAACCTATCTGATCAGATGGCACAAGCAAACGCACAGTGACTTGCAGAGGCTCCTCAAATGCACCATTCACAGGCGACTCCTCAGCGACCACCCTGTCATGCACCCGAAAAAGGGCATCTTGCGCAGGCGAAACTGGGTCTTCCTCATAACTATTTGTTTCATCACTTGTGCTATAAATGGTTACCACACGTTCATCACATCCCGGGATAGTCTCACTAATCCTAATCTTTGCGTGGGTTTCTGCTCTCAATTGCTTCGCAATATCCCCGCCAATTCCAATAATGCTCCCTATTTTTCTCAATGAACACAAATAACGGTAGACTGTATCATCTGGTCCAATACCATTTGGTTCTTTTTCGTCATTGGGGTTCCTTCTTTTCATCCCTTCATTTCCAGAGTAATCTGGTAAAGTGTTCAATCTCTTCTCATAACCATTCGTCTGTTCCATTGTTCAACTAGACAATATAAACCTAATCCTACCATTAAAAAAAATCAAAAATTCCAATCAGCCTTCTATTGTACAGCGTTAAAATAAATCAAATGTAAATGCAAAATGCAGTGTCGATACAAAACCACCAAAAAAAAAATCGTACGTTTTCTCACACTTCAATGTCGCTAAATTTAAAACATTCAGTTTTTATAACGAGAAAGTGTTAATATTTCAGTTTTAAAGGGCACCCATTAAAGTAAATCTGCTTATATATATATATATATATATATATATTTCATTCTCCTCTCAATTACCTAATGAAAAGGAGCATGGCGGGATGGGGTTGAATCATTTGTCATATAAGAGTATGAAACACTTGTTTAATTTCGAGTGTGAATACACAAACCTAAGAAAGTTCTAATTTAAGAAATTTGTTATGCTTGATCTATTAGTTCTTAGTTGCTTTGCATTCGATCGAATCATTCTTAGTTGCTTTTCCCATACATCAATCTTCCTAGTTGTAGTAACACTAGCAAAAAGGCGAAAAGGCCCATAAACCAAATCATTGTGTAGAATGCAATTTGTCGTGAAGATGATCTAAATGGTTCTATTTATTTTTTAATTAATCCTTTTTTATTATTATCATAAAAGAATGGGAGTGGAGTCAAAAGGGACAAATGGCACAACATATATAAATACGGTCAAATTGTCCATTTCCTATCAACGACAAGGAAAAACCCTTTTTCAATCACGTATTTAAAAAAAAAAAAAAACACACACACACACACACACAAAAGATACTAAATGGAACACAAGAACTATCCACAAACAATTCCATTTTTCAACTTTCCTAGTGGGTGAATCATAATTATCACTATTTGGTTATTATGAATAACATTGAAACACGTGATATGCAAAAATATCACTATAAAATCGTGTGGCTTAAAGAAATATAGATAGACCGCATTGTATTACTTTAAAATCAAGTCGAGTCAATCAACCTAAAACATCTTATCTATATATAGTTTATCATAGATTTTTGTTATTCTATTCAACACACACTACACAAATAATAATAATAAATAAATATATAAAAATTAATTAAAAAATTTGAAAAAACTCTATTAAGGCTCACATTGTCGAGTTAACACTTGGTTGCGAAAAGAAACCATATTGGGCACTCGGATGATGATAGATAATTCATTCATAAGGATGAACAACAAGGTAATTCATAATAGCTTGCATACCAAATGAAGATCGCTCCCTTCTCAAAAGAGGGGAAGGATTGAAGATTCGATTCCAAAGCAAGGGAAAGGGAAATTTGATGTAGCCGAATCTTAAGCTCCCGTCAAAACGGGTTCCTAGGGAAGAAGCAAAACCCAGTCCCTCGACATCAAAATTATTTGTATCAATTTTGTCATTTTTAATATTTATCTTTTATTAATAGCTGCTTTAGGTGTATTTTATTATTATTTAGTAGTTGAAGGACTAGAGCGCAATTTTAGTTCCATCAGTTTTTGCTCCCTATCAAACCATGCGGCTTGTAGTAGTGCTCTTTGGCTTCTATTCAATACAAATTTAATAAATTGAGAGATTCATTCTCCAATTTCGATCCAAATTAACGTTACTCTTGCACGAATTAACGTTTTATAATCGTGTATTCATTTCTTGCTCACTTGTGTTTGCATTAATTTAGCATAAAAGTCCAGCCATGTTCTTAATAAAGACATTTTGGTATTCGTGAGGCATTCTTGGATGAAATTTAGAACTTGATTTGTTAGATCAACAAATAGATGCGTTGAAGTCCCAACAATGGGTATTGTGGACGAGGGCGAAGGAGAATCTCTTGTCTCGTTCAAATTCGAATGATAAATATTGTTGATTTGGGTGGTCAATGATCATTTCATTACCTGCAAGTGAACAAATTCGTGAATAAGTAATAAAGTGGTGTGTAGAATGTCGAACCCATGAGAACTACGTGTTTGATCAAGTTTAAGCTAACCCTACCCTTAATCGAATAGTAAATCAATTTGTGACTAAATAATATAAATCTATTAACAAAATAGAAGGCAATGGAAAGAATATTTATCAAATTTCGTAAGAAATATTGCTAAAATGTAGAATCCCCCGTATTATTCCATTTTTAGTATAAAAATTAAATTGACAATTCGAAATCATTCATGTTGGTCAATGTTACTAATTTAATTGAAAGCCTCTCTCGATAACGATCAAATATGTTCTCCTTATATGATCTTCTATCTCTCGATGAAAGATGCAAACATAATAAATACATTAATAAGTGCTAGAACACCTATTAAAATCATATAAAGCATAGAGGTATATCTCTATCCTCTATCGAACTTTACAATGTTTATTATATTGTGCTAAAATCCTATTTATCTCTCTTGGCAAAATAAAATCCACTAACAATTCAATTGGTGATCAAATAATTAAAAAAATGATAAAAACGATGACAATAAACATCCACAAATAAAATCAAACTAGAGTCAAAATAATTAATTAAAAGTTAAAAATATCATAACAAGGGTTCATCTCATCCTAATAATGTATAAAACTAGTCTAACATATTAAAATTAAAAGAAATCATATATATGTGGAAAAACATAACCCGAATTTTTGATAAATAGAGAAGATGAAGATAAATTTTGAAATCTTGAATCTCTTCAATAATTTCTTAATGAATCTCCACTTCCACCCTCTCTTCTTTGTCCAATACCAAGTTTGAACCTTCACTTGATTGAATTCTTGCAAATCTCCTTCAATTCTCTCACAAAAACAATGAATTCTCCTCCTTTTATGATAATAATTGATGAATATTTAAGTATATTATGTATAAGAGATATGTATGAAAATCCCCTTTATGTATTCTCATGTTGGGCATCTGTAGTGGTCGAAAACTGGTGAAAAATCACGCCTAAATTGGTTTCCAAAAGAGTTCCAATCGAATAAGGAAAGTTATACTTGCACTCGATTGTCCCTGCACAAGAGTCAGTATTTTGATCATAACTTTGTCTCCTGATATCCAATTGAGTTTATTCAAAATATTTTGGAAAACTAACTAAAAGGGATACAATTTTTCTAGAGATAGATATTTTTCAATTCGAACATTTACTATGTTAAAAATTGGTCGCAATCCTTGATGAAAAATCTGGAAAATATATCATGAAATTGGAAGTCAATTTATGGTAATATTATGATGATATTCCATGTTTTTACTTCTAATTACATCCAATTAACTCCCATCAATCTTTAAAATATCTCTTATAGTCCAATCAACCATTGGATATTTACAATTTGGTCTCCAACTTTGTACTTCGCCATTTTTCGCTTATTTCTTTCAATTTAACTTCCAACCAGCGAGATTTACCTAATAAATGAAATATACAATAAATTAGGCTATACTTGCTTTAAAGAACTATTAAATGTTTATATTTTTAGGTCTACATAAGTGTATAAAATACATTTATCAAATACCCCCAAACTTAAATATTTGTTTGTCCTCAAACAAAATCATAACCTAACTTAACAAACACACAAATATGCAAAATATTTTGGTTGGATAATCTAGCTTTTTACCTTGGAATATGAAATTTTAATATTAAATCTATGAGAAGCTTCTAGGTTGCAATACCAAAATTAATGTCCACTTTACCAATGCAAAATTGACGTATGTGTGAAGAATTAAGTAATCAATCATGAATACACAAGTTATTTCAATTCCCGATCCTCTGTAGTCAGATATATCATTTTCATTTCTCGTAAGATTCACACAACCCCCAAACTTATTATTTTTCACTCTTTTTCCAGCATGTGATCTAATGTTGAGTTTTTCATTACTATTCTCACCCTCTTCAATTCAGGTAGACGTCACTAGTTGCAAGTCAACACATCAATGAATAAGGATTCTCCAATTATTTGATTGCTTCGACTATCAAGATTCAACTAGGTTAATTATCTTTCATCGAAAATCAAATTCCATCGAGCAAGTGTTAGGACTTAACAAGACATTTAGTGCATTTTTTTATTTTTTTGTTATTTATTTATTTATTTATTTTGCACTCCCCCTTAAACTTTCTAAATGACCCACGTAGTAAGCTTTTGGCCGATGAATCTCAAGTCAGACGACTTTAGGGCACCAGATTTTTAAACACCCTTGCAAGCATAATAACCCAAGCCAAAAAAGTTTCGAAGAGAACAAATTTTTTTTTCAAGGGTAACTTCATATTTAATTGCTTTCTAAATGACCCCTGTAGTGAGTTTTAGGCCGATGACTCTCAAGTCAAAAAGGTTTCGAAGAGAACAATAATTTTTTTTCCTTTCAAGGGTAACTTCATCTATGATTGTTTCCTAAATGACCTCTGTAGCGAACTTTAGGCCGGTGACTTTCAAATTAGATGACTTTAGGGCATCAGGTTTAAAGATATCCTTGTAGGCTTAATTGCTCGAATCATAAAGGCTTCAAAGAGAAATTTTAAATTTTAAAATATATATACCTTAATTAGTGCAATGCTCCTTATCATACACATATTCAAGAAAACTAACCTCCAACTCAAGACTTTCATCCAAGTTTATCCTGTTTATCTCAAACAATCCACAATTTTTTTTTCATACAAGGAATTCATATTCACATCTACATCTACCTACAATAGTAAAATCATCCCAAACTATGCCAAATTTGGTCTAAGGATAATTAGTATAGTATGATTTGGGTAAAGCATCTATTTCCAATTAAGTCAACATATTAAGAGAATGAAACAACTCATTTCATCACAATATCAAACTTAATTATAATGCGCATATAATATCAAGTTTTGCAAGTTTAAGTTTCAATCGATCTAACATGCAACCTATCCACAATTTATAAATTAACACTAAACCTCAAATTAAATCATTATTGTTAGCTAAACTGTCTAACCCACACAAGCATACAACTAAATAAAAGAGATTTTTTAAGATAAATATACAAAAACACAAAACATACGAAAAACAAAAATTAAAAGTTTTTTCCACCCTTAAACTTAAAAATCGACATTGTCCTCAATGT